TTCACATTGTCATGTTTCTGCCTTTCTAATCTTGCTATTCTTAAACAAATTCTATGTATGTGCACCACACTATAAAAGATAATGACAAATTTTATTAAATGATACTATAAAATTCACATTGTAACATGTATACCTGTATAAATATATACCTCTGAATCAATTTCAGAAGTAATAAAAAAAACAACAATATATAAGAAAAATTTTTCCCACACAATCACCATCAGTTTGTAAGGTTATAGGGTGAGGTTTCATTATGGGAGAAAAGTTCCATGGTAGTCATTTATTACCTGAAAATTAATTTGACAATAGCTGTAATTTTGTGACAAGTATTGTTGGCTATCAAGTAAAACCCGATAGTGCGATAGTACCATGTATAAAAACAAATATACTGTTTGTCACACAGTTTAAACAATCGAAGTAGCTGAAGAAGTTTAGTTGCCCAGGCTCCAAATGTCTTGGTAACTGCCATTGTGGAAACAAACTTTTAATTTGAATAATATGCAATTAGATTTTGGACTCTTGATTTTTTATTTATAGCCTGATTCTCATATTTTCTATGATACATTATTTCTTCGATATTGTGTTTGAATTTTTTTTGTTGTGTATTGTCTTTGGTAAATCAAATTTACCGTCTTATGTCTTATGTCTCGTTTGTTTGAAATGTGTGGTGAGATGACTTAGTCTGGTTTATTAGGGCTTCTTGTGATATAAAACTATATTTTTGTTGGTATAATTTTCATTGTTATGAAGTTATAAAATAAGAATTTTCTAAAGTTCTTTTCAAAAGGTATATTACATATTATATTTGAATATTTATTTGTCTAATTTATTTGTGTCTTTGGTTTTATTCAATCATCTAATTAAAATATAATATTTTTGAATGTAAACTATATATTAAATGGTAGAAGTCAGTTGGGAGTGTGGTCAGAGATGAAATTAAATTACAAACAAATAAGAAGTTTTATTTTATTGTGTCTAAGTTTTATGTCTTCATCAGGGCTAAGTATAAAACAAGATAACAACCACTAAGAAAAAAAGTACAAAAATAATATAATCAGATAAAAAATATAAAATAAAACAGTATGAAAATGTTTATGTTAAACTAAATATCAATGTCATTAAATTCATAATTTTTTATTCATATTTCATTAATGAATGAAATATTATGGAACAATAAAATAAATTAATATATACTGGATATGTAATATATAAAGAGGTGATTAAATAGTCGACTGATCAATTATGAGGATGAAAGAAAATTGTCAAGAATTCCATTCACGATAATATTTACTGGGTTAGCCGACGTTTTGACCCAAACATGTGGGTTCAGTTCTTGTCTCAATATCCAAACTATAGCCCTGATGATGACCCACATGTTTGGGTCGAAACATCAGCTAACCCAAAAATGTTATCATGACTGAAATTCCTGACGAATATAAATATTGTTAGTTATGTAGGATTTATTTTTCCTAGAATTTTTCTTCTCTCAGTTGCTAAAAGTTAAGAAGCAACGATTGTGGTCAAAAACCCTTCTCTGCAGTGCATCCAATATGTGCTCAATGGAATTGAGATCTGGAGACAATAAAGGAAGGAGCATATGTGAAAAATCCAGATTTTCAAGACAATGATGAACAATTTTTTCCCTATGAGGTCGCATATTGTCCTCAAGAAAATGGAAATCTGTGCCAATAATGGCCCTGGTTAGAGGAATGCACTCCTCAATAATTTTTTTAATATAACGAACTGCAATGAGATTACTTTTCACAATATAGAGTAGAGTCCGTTGTCCGTCCTCTTTAGTAGATACCAGCTAATACCATCACATTCCCACCTATAGATTGCACCTTGGCAGAAAATTAGACACTTCATTTAGGATCTGTCAGGCACTATGAAAAGGATTTCTTCTTGCAATAATAAAAATATTTCTGTAATCTCTTGGTGTCGTAATGCACTGAGATTCACTAACTGGTCTCCTATTGGTACTTCCAGTTTCTCTAAATCTGGTTTCTATTGGTACTTCCAGTTTCTCTAAATCTGGTTAAAGTCCGGAAGACCACAATTTAGGAAAAACCAACGGCATCAATGATATCCACTTGTCGGTGCCCTTGACAGCTCGTTCTCACGATAATATACTTCTAGTTTGAAATGTAGTCTTTGGGGAGGTACGTTGTATTCCTATGTCATGAATTCAGTACTAAAATAAAAAATAAATCTTGTCTTTCCATTGTTAAACAGAATATTACTAGATTAAAATTGAGAAAAGTTTGAAAACAACTGTTGATTAACAGAATGATTATTCTATAGTTAATAATTTATCAAAAATAAAGAATATCTTTTGTTTACTTTTTATGTTTACCAACATAAGAGAGAATCCTTAAGGAGAAAACAAAGAAATAAAACTTGTATTTTAATTTAAAATGAATCAAATAGAAATATCCTATACATTTTTTGTTTTAGGTGAAATTATGTTTAATAATATAAAGTAAAGGCTGTATTTATTTCACTATGTTCATATTCCTTTTTCTACATACTGCATTTCAGTTATGACGCCACTTTCATGACATCTGTAAGACCTCATTATTTTCCTACAAAACTACATTAACATGATATGATAGCGATGCTAGTCATCTCTTAAAAACCAAGATCGTATAAATTATAACTCTAATAGAGTTGATTTAATGTTAATTATGTTTTATATTCCTGCACCTTTTCTGCCTATGTACAGGTGTATTTTAGGAGTCATTTATCTGCTGACTAGCTAATTACTTCTTATAATTCTTCCTTGCTGATAAAATCGCCTTCTTCAGAATAAACCTTCTTCTTCCTCTGCGATTCTTTCCTCGCCCCATTAATGTATGTTTCCAATTTTCTGGTTCATATTCGCGTTTTTCCCCATTTTGAGACAAATGATTACCCAGACCTGTAATGATTTTAGGATATCTACAACATTTAGCTTTATCTCTTTCCATTTTTTATGCAAAAATAATAAAGCATTTATTATGAAAACCGTATAATTGCTTATGATATGGCTCAACCTCGAAACAAAATAAAGGAATTAAAAAAGATCCAAAAAAAGGTGATTAATTTTTTGATTATTTTTATATGATTTTTGCTTTCCAATTCGGTAACGAATTATTATATCTCATTCAGATTAAGTTTATAAAACTAAAATAAAATATAAAATAAATAATAATGATTCATTTCCAGAAAGTACATAAAATTGAAAGAATCTCTAAGAATCAATAAATACATAAAAATATCTTAAATTGCTTAGTGTCGCTGAATTAAATTTTATTTTAGTTGTCATATATTTTTTTTTTTGCGATAGAGGATATAAGAAGTAATAACAAAAAAAAAAAATTGGACAGTAAAATTATTGCATTAATATTTATAATATAACCAACAAAACCCTACACCATGACCGTAATATCCCATTTGTCCTAGACCTTATCCCGGCAGAATTCTCCAAATTTCACCAGAACCTTACTTATCATCCAAACCCCTTTGTACGATCCCTTCCCTATCCAGCACCACCCATCCCTATAATCCTCTAAGAAGGTTAAAACTGCAATGGCCCTGCGACCTTTTATAGTTTGTAAATATTGGAGTGTATGTGGCTAAAGCACTCTTGTTCAATCTCCACTGGGTTTAGGCCCAGTGACGCGGTTGGGAGAGAAGTGCAAGGATCTCCTGGAATCATGCTTTTCCTTCCACAGTTGGAGGGACATGTCTGGCTCGGAGTTCTCTCGTCAGATTGTAAATAGTGTATATAGGTATGTATGCGTTCTTTTTATTTATATATTTTTAGGTTATTTTATTCTTATTTATTGTATATATATTATTTTTCTGTATAATTTATTTTATTTATTGTACATAGAGTGTGAATGTGATTTCTGAACACTATTATAAATGTCCTTTGAGACAGATTGTAATATTTTTCAATAAATAAGTTAAATATCAAAATAAAAAATTTGTACTTTGTAGGACAATTAAAATAATATATCAAAAACGTTATTATAGCAATATAATTATGAGTATTGAATAATGTGGCAGAAAAAGGTAGGCGCTGACGGCAGTACCACTTTTCCGCTAATTAAGTGAATTTTCAAAGGAACCATTTAAAATATTTAAAAAACCTATCACTGATTTGAAAAGAGAAATGTATTGTCTAGATTTTTTATTTCAGGGCATTTTTCGTTATTGTTGACAGCTTAATTACAAACGACGCTTCATTTTTAACTTTAATTTGATCGACTTGAAAAAATTGACTTTACTGGTGTGTTTTATTGCCTAAAACAATTATTTTAATATGTGTTCACATTTTATTATTCTCTGACTATCCTTCTTTAATGAAAGGCCAATTATGACAAAAATGAGGCAAATGATGAATCTCAGTGACCGAAACACTAATTCAAGTCAAAATAATTAATTCCCCATGTTTGGCGCCATTTTGGGACAGTCAGTTCACTTTTTGTGGGAGCATTGGCTTTCTTTTAATAAACAGTTGCAAGGAACAGAATAATATGAAATTTATAGGAATGTGGGGAAGGGAGGAGGATAAGTATGCACGGTAGGGGGTCTGGCCCACCGTGTGTAAAAAATTCGTTAATAATCAATAAATATTTCCCAGTTCCCTAAATTCACAGATGATATCTAGTTTTTCAGGGGTTAGCTGCCCACTTATGATCAATCTTTCAAGGATTTTAAATATTTACATGAACTGGAAATAACTAATTTTGTTTATACCTTAAAAAAGTGAAGGCGAAAAATAAGAAAGAAAGATCATCAGAAAAATCAATCATTCCACAAACTTATTATTGTCTCGTGCATAAAGCAATCTAAATTAACATAAAAAAAAGTAAGCTTAAGAACTCAAGGGATCCATACCAGTTATGCTACATCTTAATATACAACTATGGTTTGATAAATCATAAATTTTAAAATACAGTCTATTAAAAGAAAAACATAATAAGAAAAAAAAAGAAATAATCATATACAACCTTTAATCTTCTAGCTTTTGCCTTCCTCTCTGCTAAACTGTCCATTCTAGATGTTCCCACTGAATTGCCATTTTCATCAATGGTTTTCTGGAAGAAGAAAAACATCTATGAAACACAGAAATATTATAAAATAACCAAACCAATTCTAAACATTCTTTGTGATGTTATAAAAAATAATCAGGAAAAATGTGGAAACTTTCCAGATTAATAAGAAAAATACTTAAATAACATTTTCATAACAGGAGAAGCAAAAAATCATCCATTGGTAGAATTGTCCATTGCAAGTATTCTGAATTTTAATACTGCAGCTTGAAATGATAACAATTCATTGACTGAATGGTACCTACTTACTGGCGGGTAATAAACTAATAATACCACTATTATATTTCTTCCCACCTATTTCTTCCGGGGGGTATATTTTTTGTCCTTTCTGATATTACGATCGAAATTTTAAAAAATCTCTTCAGAAAGACTTACCTAGAATGATGAACGAAATAGCAGAAAGTTAAAAATATGCTCGAAAGCTACAAAGTAAAAACCACATATACAATTAAATATATATAGTCATCACTAAAGGAGTAGGGTCTCTCATTTATTAAGGAATTGTCCTCTACTTTGTTTACTTACCATTAATGTAAATGGGAGTCTGGCTCTGATCGTGTAGTGTTAGATCGGGTTCGTGTCCACTTGTTTATTAAGTTTGTTAAGGTTAACCTCCTTTACAAGTGAGACTTTTAGTACAGTTAAGTAACTTGTATTAAAAAGTTTGGTGTGAAGAAATATGTTAAGTTCGTCACGGTGTTTACTATATGGACTAAATGTTTACAATATCCTCCAAAACATTCAAATGCTATAAGGTCATTCCATATCAAATCGACCTGCTTAAAAATAATTTTGAACCTATAGTTCTTGTATTTTGTTATTTTTTTGGTTATTTGTTGCATGCATTAATGTAAAGAAAAAAACAAAATCCGGTGTTTGAGTTATAATTTTTTATCAAAAATTCTTTATTGAGATATATTACAACCTGTCACATCTAAGGACAACAGTAATAGAGATACAATAATAGCTCATTCACACTGTGTACAACAAATACAAATAAATAAACAGCATAATAATAATATTAAAAATAAATGTATATAAACTAAATTTCTAAGATCCCGTGATTCTATTCCTCAAAAAAACAGACAGCTCCTTGTAACCTCTCTCGTTTTCCCCCACTTCGACTACGGTTGCTTGGTGTACGGAGGGCTGCCTGAAAGATTGGAGGTGAAATTAAAGAGACTTATGAACTGTTTTATAAGATTCATCTTTGGAATTCCCAGACAATCTCATGTTTACCACTGGTATAACCAAAATGAAGTGGCTTTATCCTACTTCCCGACGACAATTCCTTCTTGGTGTTTTCCTTTTCGAGGTCTTAAGAACCAAAAATCCTCCCTATATCATGGAACTCCTCATTCTACGTTCCTCTATCCACTCTATTAAGACCAGATCTCAACATATTGATTTATACATCCCTTTTCATAAAACTACATCCTTCAGCAAATCCTTCGTCATTCCTGCTACCACCTCCTTCTGAAATTCTTTACCCATCACCATACGACAATTCTCATCCTTAAATTCCTTCAAACAACTATTATTCCACCACCTACTTCATTTTCAAACTTCCGTATGTATGTAATATTTATTGGATTCCATAATTACAACTGCTCACTAACAATTGATCGACAAGTTTCATTTGATTTTATTTCATTTTTTTATTTACTCTTCTTTGTATATACGTAAACCATACAAAATGTACTAGTGTTAAAGTGTTGACTATTGTTATTTAGGTATGATTGTGATAACAATTGAAATTAACATTCAAATGACCTCTTTGTATTCTGTCAAACCAGCGAATGGACCAATGTTTGGTAAGATGTTATTATTATTCTTAGGGAACTTTGGTCCCAGAATAAAATTATTTTTTCATTAATTTCATAATAGGACACCGCTTGTTGATAGAGATGTTAAGATTACGGATGGACCGTTCCAGGCGGAAATGTTTATTAGACTTTGGATTTTTTTATTATTATTTTATTTTTAAGGTAAGTACCAATGGCAGAATGAAGAAGAAACAGACAGAACAAACATTCTCGTGAGTCGTATTGAAAATCTCTTAAACCGGTTCGAGGAAACCATTCCACCTCTGGAACAATTCGGAATGGTTCCACCTGGAAGGAACGGTCTTTAACGTTCCGAGTGGCCTTGAATTCCATCCCTGAAACGGTTCGGAATGGTTCCGACCGGAACGGTTTTTCTCATTACGAGGGACTTCGGAATTTCGTTTCATTGGAATATGAACGCTTTTAGGTTCCATTACATTCCATTTTCGATCCAATCTGAGATTTCATTCTATGGTCTGTTTGGAATAATTATGATACGGATTAATCTGTCTACGTGTGTTGTTACTTTAGCTTAAATTAGTAAGCCTTAAATTTAAAAATGTGTTTACAGTAAAAAAGACATAAAATAAAAAAAAATATAAAACAGAAATGGATTTTAATTCATTAATATTTTTTACTTTCACTTACCTATATATGAAATATATAGTAAGGGTAAGTATTTGAGTCAAAATAACCAAGTCTCGCAAAATGGTCTATGTGTGTGTGTGTGTTTACCACTGGTATAACTGAAATGAAGTGGCTTTATTCTACTTCCCGACGACAATTCCTTCTTGGTGTTTTCCTTTTCGAGGTCTTAAGAACCAAAAATCCTCCCTATATCATGGAACTCCTCATTCTACGTTCCTCTATCCACTCTATTAAGAACAGATCTCAACATATTGATTTATACATCCCTTTTCATAAAAAGGAAAAAAACTGCATGAGAAACTATAGCATTAAAGAGCAGTTAGAAGTGCCTCCATTGAAGACTATCTTGGAAAACATACAGTTAATATGTATTGGACATGTTTGTCAGATGGATGAAGTGAGAGAACCCAGATCGACACTGGAAGCTAGACCTACGGGTAGTAGATCACGTAGCCGGACAAGAATCTGCTATCAACAATATATTGAGAGCATTGGGGGTAACAGAGACAAAAACCCTCGCAGAAATGAAGCAACTGAGCAGCGACCGAGAAACCTGGCAATGCTGGATCTGAGGCCCCTCTACACGAATAAGGCTCTAAGAGGAAGAAACTGAAGAATATCAAAATAAAGTGCATACAAAAATGAAAAAGGTGAAACCTGTTCCAGCTTTCTAGCTCAAATAGTTTTTGAGAAATGGCCTCAAAACTATTTTAAAAATTCACCATTTTTTTTTTCATTTTAAAAATTTAACTCAAAAACCAAAAAATCTAAAATTCTGTATTTTCTTTACATAAATGCGTGCAACAAACCACCAAACGATCATTAAATTTCAAGTCCTTGTGGGTTAGGTCCCTGGTTGATTTTATATAGAATGACTTTATAATAACCAAATTATCGTTTTTGTTAACCTTGGTTATTTCTACTCACGCGGGCTCATTAACGTGAACGTTGCTGCAGGGAGGGGACTTCCAGACTTGCTGGAGGCAGGGGCCCGCCAGGTGGGTGTGACGTAGGATTGAACGCCCTACTCATATATCTCTAGTTCACCATACACCACAAATAGTCATGGAACTACCTAAGGTAAAACGCTCATTTACGGGAGGTAAACTAGTCTCCCGTTCGGTTCTCCGGGTGGAGACTGCTTTAGGGGATTCATGGCGCAAGTAGAAAATAGAGATTTGAGTATTGGTACGTGGAATATAAGGTGACTAAACTCAGCAGGGGTTAAAATCGGTCACGAATGAGGTTAATGGGTACAATTTGGATATCGTGGCTCTGCAAGAGGTTCACTGGCCAGGGGAGGGCTCCATGAGGGAAGGAAAGTACACTATTTGGTACGGAGGAAGCGGGAATCATTGTTTGGGTACCGGGTTTCTAATTAGGAGTAGATTACTATCCGCTTTGAGGGACGTACAATTCTTTAGTGATAGAATTTCGGTGGCGATATTTCAGAGACGTTGGCTTAAAATCGCGTTCATAAACATACATTGTCCGACCGAAGACAGTGGCGATGCAGTCAAATAAGAATTTTACGATAAACTCGAATGGGTTTATGATAAACTACCGCAAAACTCCATGAAAATAATTGTAGGTGACACAAACGCAAAGGTGGGGAGGGAAGAAGTTTATGTTCCGACGATAGGTAAAGAAAGTTTGCACGACTATAGTAATGGTAATGGGATCCGTCTGATAAACTTTGCCATCTCGAAAAATCTGATAATTAAAAGTACTACGTTTAAACATAAGGATATTCATAAATATACCTGGACATCACCGGATTCACAAAAACGAAATCAAATCGATCATGTCTTGATACAACATAGCTGACAAAGCAGTATAATTAATGTACGGTCTTATTGCGAAGCAGAATGTGGATCGGATCATGAATTAGTAATCGAAAAACTTTGACAGTATTTTAAATTCGGGAAATTATGATCTCTGTCCTCCTTCTGAGTACCAGTGTGCGGAACCGTTAATAGAAGAACCGAGTAAAGAGGAAGTTGAAGTAGCTATCGAAAAATTAAAATCGTATAAAGGAGCGGGAACCCATAATATTCCTTGTGACCTAATTAAGGCATGCGGGGAAGCTGGAGTTTCTACAATACATCTGTTGGTTAAAAAGATCTGGGTGAATGAGAAATTACCTGAAGAATGGAAAGAATCTATTCTCATTCCGATTCACAAAAACGGTCCGAGAACGGATTGTAATAATTATCGGGGAATTTCATTCCTTCCAGTATGTTATAAAATATTTACTTAGATCTTAACAAGTCGAATCACAGAATACGCCGAGGAAATTATCGACAACTATGCGAATTTAGACGGAATGATCGACTATTGATTAAATATTTTCTTTAAGGCAAATATTGGAGGAAAAATTAGAGTACAACGATGTTGTTCACTAGTTGTATATCGATTTCAAAAAGGCTTACGACTCTATTAACCGCCAGAAACTGTATAATATTCTAATTGAGCAAGGGATTCCAAAAAAAATTAGTAAATCTTGTCAGG